GGGGATATATTACAATGACACCTGGAAGTGGGGGGATATACAGGTGAAACTCGACCAAAAACTATGCACAGCCGCCGGGATTTACAGGACCGTGTCATCTTTGAGCCGGCATCTCAGTCCAGGAAGCAGATGGTGACCCCCGGGTGATGCCTGAACAAAGATGGCGCCGTCCTTCTGGTGAGAAGAGCAGAAGGCGGCATTGCCCGGGGGGAGGGCTGTGATCGCTGCGAGGGGTAATTAATACCTGGAATTGCTACACTTGTCATGTGACGCTCGGGCTGCTGTAACATTGACACATCACTGAGCATGCCGAATGTTTCATGCTGCATTCATTAAACTGTTCCTCCCCGTTCAACATCAACCGGATGCGTCGCCTCTCTTGGTAAGCTTGAACAGGCTCTGGAAGTATTTATACTCTGCGTCCATGCATAAAGCATCTATAGGGGGGGGGGGACGGACGGACGTATGAATGGAGCGGGCCCATTCCCGGAGGCGCTCTCACCTGCAGAAGCACTGCGGAATCTCTCCCAAGCCGTACATGTGGAACAGGAAGGGAGTGTTGCCGTAGCGACCGAGACATCGCAAGAAATGCTGCGTCGCCTTCAACCCGTCTACCGTGCCGGCGGCTTGGGAAACCATTGCGATGGAGCAGAGGACGAAGTGCTGCAAACCGGGCGCTAAGCGCTTGGACTGCAGAAACTCCGCAAAGGTGGAATCCTTGTGATCTGCAAAAGTGACAAAAACGTATTATTCCTCCTCTTGTATGCAAGTGCCGGGTGACCACACTGACCCCCAATAATCCCAGTGACCACACTGACCCCGATAATCCCCTGACCCCAGTGACCACACTGATCCCAGTGACCACACTGACCCCGATAATCCCCTGACCCCAGTGACCACACTGATCCCAGTGACCACACTGACCCCGATAATCCCCTGACCCCAGTGACCACACTGATCCCAGTGACCACACTGACCCCGATAATCCCCTGACCCCAGTGACCACACTGATCCCAGTGACCACACTGACCCCGATAATCCCCTGACCCCAGTGACCACACTGATCCCAGTGACCACACTGACCCCGATAATCCCCTGACCCCAGTGACCACACTGATCCCAGTGACCACACTGACCCCGATAATCCCCTGACCCCAGTGACCACACTGATCCCAGTGACCACACTGACCCCGATAATCCCCTGACCCCAGTGACCACACTGATCCCAGTGACCACACTGACCCCGATAATCCCCTGACCCCAGTGACCACACTGATCCCAGTGACCACACTGACCCCGATAATCCCCTGACCCCAGTGACCACACTGATCCCAGTGACCACACTGACCCCGATAATCCCCTGACCCCAGTGACCACACTGATCCCAGTGACCACACTGACCCCGATAATCCCCTGACCCCAGTGACCACACTGATCCCAGTGACCACACTGACCCCGATAATCCCCTGACCCCAGTGACCACACTGATCCCAGTGACCACACTGACCCCGATAATCCCCTGACCCCAGTGACCACACTGATCCCAGTGACCACACTGACCCCGATAATCCCCTGACCCCAGTGACCACACTGATCCCAGTGACCACACTGACCCCGATAATCCCCTGACCCCAGTGACCACACTGATCCCAGTGACCACACTGACCCCGATAATCCCCTGACCCCAGTGACCACACTGATCCCAGTGACCACACTGACCCCGATAATCCCCTGACCCCAGTGACCACACTGATCCCAGTGACCACACTGACCCCGATAATCCCCTGACCCCAGTGACCACACTGATCCCAGTGACCACACTGACCCCGATAATCCCCTGACCCCAGTGACCACACTGATCCCAGTGACCACACTGACCCCGATAATCCCCTGACCCCAGTGACCACACTGATCCCAGTGACCACACTGACCCCGATAATCCCCTGACCCCAGTGACCACACTGATCCCAGTGACCACACTGACCCCGATAATCCCCTGACCCCAGTGACCACACTGATCCCAGTGACCACACTGACCCCGATAATCCCCTGACCCCAGTGACCACACTGATCCCAGTGACCACACTGACCCCGATAATCCCCTGACCCCAGTGACCACACTGATCCCAGTGACCACACTGACCCCGATAATCCCCTGACCCCAGTGACCACACTGATCCCAGTGACCACACTGACCCCGATAATCCCCTGACCCCAGTGACCACACTGATCCCAGTGACCACACTGACCCCGATAATCCCCTGACCCCAGTGACCACACTGATCCCAGTGACCACACTGACCCCGATAATCCCCTGACCCCAGTGACCACACTGATCCCAGTGACCACACTGACCCCGATAATCCCCTGACCCCAGTGACCACACTGATCCCAGTGACCACACTGACCCCGATAATCCCCTGACCCCAGTGACCACACTGATCCCAGTGACCACACTGACCCCGATAATCCCCTGACCCCAGTGACCACACTGATCCCAGTGACCACACTGACCCCGATAATCCCCTGACCCCAGTGACCACACTGATCCCAGTGACCACACTGACCCCGATAATCCCCTGACCCCAGTGACCACACTGATCCCAGTGACCACACTGACCCCGATAATCCCCTGACCCCAGTGACCACACTGATCCCAGTGACCACACTGACCCCGATAATCCCCTGACCCCAGTGACCACACTGATCCCAGTGACCACACTGACCCCGATAATCCCCTGACCCCAGTGACCACACTGATCCCAGTGACCACACTGACCCCGATAATCCCCTGACCCCAGTGACCACACTGATCCCAGTGACCACACTGACCCCGATAATCCCCTGACCCCAGTGACCACACTGATCCCAGTGACCACACTGACCCCGATAATCCCCTGACCCCAGTGACCACACTGATCCCAGTGACCACACTGACCCCGATAATCCCCTGACCCCAGTGACCACACTGATCCCAGTGACCACACTGACCCCGATAATCCCCTGACCCCAGTGACCACACTGATCCCAGTGACCACACTGACCCCGATAATCCCCTGACCCCAGTGACCACACTGATCCCAGTGACCACACTGACCCCGATAATCCCCTGACCCCAGTGACCACACTGATCCCAGTGACCACACTGACCCCGATAATCCCCTGACCCCAGTGACCACACTGATCCCAGTGACCACACTGACCCCGATAATCCCCTGACCCCAGTGACCACACTGATCCCAGTGACCACACTGACCCCGATAATCCCCTGACCCCAGTGACCACACTGATCCCAGTGACCACACTGACCCCGATAATCCCCTGACCCCAGTGACCACACTGATCCCAGTGACCACACTGACCCCGATAATCCCCTGACCCCAGTGACCACACTGATCCCAGTGACCACACTGACCCCGATAATCCCCTGACCCCAGTGACCACACTGATCCCAGTGACCACACTGACCCCGATAATCCCCTGACCCCAGTGACCACACTGATCCCAGTGACCACACTGACCCCGATAATCCCCTGACCCCAGTGACCACACTGATCCCAGTGACCACACTGACCCCGATAATCCCCTGACCCCAGTGACCACACTGATCCCAGTGACCACACTGACCCCGATAATCCCCTGACCCCAGTGACCACACTGATCCCAGTGACCACACTGACCCCGATAATCCCCTGACCCCAGTGACCACACTGATCCCAGTGACCACACTGACCCCGATAATCCCCTGACCCCAGTGACCACACTGATCCCAGTGACCACACTGACCCCGATAATCCCCTGACCCCAGTGACCACACTGATCCCAGTGACCACACTGACCCCGATAATCCCCTGACCCCAGTGACCACACTGATCCCAGTGACCACACTGACCCCGATAATCCCCTGACCCCAGTGACCACACTGATCCCAGTGACCACACTGACCCCGATAATCCCCTGACCCCAGTGACCACACTGATCCCAGTGACCACACTGACCCCGATAATCCCCTGACCCCAGTGACCACACTGATCCCAGTGACCACACTGACCCCGATAATCCCCTGACCCCAGTGACCACACTGATCCCAGTGACCACACTGACCCCGATAATCCCCTGACCCCAGTGACCACACTGATCCCAGTGACCACACTGACCCCGATAATCCCCTGACCCCAGTGACCACACTGATCCCAGTGACCACACTGACCCCGATAATCCCCTGACCCCAGTGACCACACTGATCCCAGTGACCACACTGACCCCGATAATCCCCTGACCCCAGTGACCACACTGATCCCAGTGACCACACTGACCCCGATAATCCCCTGACCCCAGTGACCACACTGATCCCAGTGACCACACTGACCCCGATAATCCCCTGACCCCAGTGACCACACTGATCCCAGTGACCACACTGACCCCGATAATCCCCTGACCCCAGTGACCACACTGATCCCAGTGACCACACTGACCCCGATAATCCCCTGACCCCAGTGACCACACTGATCCCAGTGACCACACTGACCCCGATAATCCCCTGACCCCAGTGACCACACTGATCCCAGTGACCACACTGACCCCGATAATCCCCTGACCCCAGTGACCACACTGATCCCAGTGACCACACTGACCCCGATAATCCCCTGACCCCAGTGACCACACTGATCCCAGTGACCACACTGACCCCGATAATCCCCTGACCCCAGTGACCACACTGATCCCAGTGACCACACTGACCCCGATAATCCCCTGACCCCAGTGACCACACTGATCCCAGTGACCACACTGACCCCGATAATCCCCTGACCCCAGTGACCACACTGATCCCAGTGACCACACTGACCCCGATAATCCCCTGACCCCAGTGACCACACTGATCCCAGTGACCACACTGACCCCGATAATCCCCTGACCCCAGTGACCACACTGATCCCAGTGACCACACTGACCCCGATAATCCCCTGACCCCAGTGACCACACTGATCCCAGTGACCACACTGACCCCGATAATCCCCTGACCCCAGTGACCACACTGATCCCAGTGACCACACTGACCCCGATAATCCCCTGACCCCAGTGACCACACTGATCCCAGTGACCACACTGACCCCGATAATCCCCTGACCCCAGTGACCACACTGATCCCAGTGACCACACTGACCCCGATAATCCCCTGACCCCAGTGACCACACTGATCCCAGTGACCACACTGACCCCGATAATCCCCTGACCCCAGTGACCACACTGATCCCAGTGACCACACTGACCCCGATAATCCCCTGACCCCAGTGACCACACTGATCCCAGTGACCACACTGACCCCGATAATCCCCTGACCCCAGTGACCACACTGATCCCAGTGACCACACTGACCCCGATAATCCCCTGACCCCAGTGACCACACTGACCCCAGTGACCACACCGACCCCTGATAATCCCAGTGACCACACTGACCCCGATAATCCCCTGACCCCAGTGACCACACTGACTACACCGTCCCCGATAATCCCAGTGACCACACAGACCACACTGACTACACCGTCCCCGATAATCCCAGTGACCACATGACTACACCGTCCCCGATAATCCCAGTGACCACATGACTACACCGTCCCCGATAATCCCAGTGACCACATGACTACACCGTCCCCGATAATCCCAGTGACCACACAGACCACACTGACTACACCGTCCCCGATAATCCCAGGGACAGACCAGGAGTCTGCTGGCCTGTCAAAATAATTAGCAGGCACCAGTCTTACAAAGAGGAGAAGATTGTACAAAGATTATGTGGTCAGAGTGTAACATGTATGGTGACCCTTTGTTTAAACTATCTAACACTCCGCAATGAGCTTCTCTTATTTCCTCCTGCCAGAAATCCAGTGAGCTGATCACTTCCTGAGCTCTCTGTCTGCTATCAGTTACACTGTTCTGAGGCTGCACAAAAGAAGAAGAGGGGAGGGGGAGGTGTTATGTAGTCTTGCCTTGGGATGGCGACACTGCACCTTCATAAATGCAGTGCAGCGAGTGAATGTTGTCACCCCAGGACAGGAAGTGTGGTACTGGCAGGACCACTAGGTGAAAATGAAGGGAAAAAAGAAAACTAATGTAGCCACCACATCTAAGGACTGGCAATGCATGAATGTTTCCTCTTGGGTTGTTATACAATAAACGCTTTAAAATCCCTCCAAGTCCCTGAACTCTGAACAACAATGTCTCTTATTTGTGTGTCACTCGGCTGTAGATCCTCCAATCATCTCTGACACTGTCCTTCCTTCTGGAGGGGCGGGGCTACGTCTGTTCCCCATGGTCCCTGTGTGTTGTAATGTAGTCACCGCTCCAAGCTCCGCCCCCCCCGGGATGGACTACAATCTCAATACAAATCAGTAAACTAAACCTGAGATTGTAGTCCTTCCCGGGAGTGAGCTTGGAGCGGTGACTACTTTACAAC